AAAGGTAAAACAGTACTTGGACTTTGCAGCTTGTTGAAAAAATTGCATTGAACATCTGTAGTACCTATTCAAACGGAAGAAAATAGGAGGTGTAATAGCAACCAGCTTAATAATGGAGTCTTCAATGATCCGAATCTCAAAAAAGGTGCACGTAGCAGTGGAAAGTTGAGCAATTAGGTCAGGCCTAGTTAGATGCAGCTCGTAACAGTATTTTGGGAAATGCTTGTTATTTCCTTTAAGTATTGTACTTGTAAGAGGAGGGAGGTTAAGGAAAAAGTCATGGCTGCCAAAAGGAAAGAAAAGTCACATTTTTGAAGTGAAGACAAAGGAAAATATTTGGCTGCATGATCAAATATAAAGCTGAGAATAAATTTGAAGGGGTGGGTTTTAAAGATTGAATAGGACATTAATATTAGATTTGTTCTTTTGTCCTGGTAAATAAATAATATCATTACAGATAAATGTTAATTTATCTCTAGAGTCTGGTGAATGAATGAATGGATGGATGGATGATGTTGTGGGTTTTTTTTTTTTATTTCTGATGGCGGGAGGAAGCCTATCCTTGGTTAATTTAACAGTATCTGACTGACTACTACAGCTTCTGAAGAAAAGCGAGAAGAAATACTTTCAGTAGTTCCAAGTCATCTAAAAAAGTGAATAAGCAAGGACCAGCAAGAATTTGTCAGAAACATTAACTTAAGCTGATTTCTTTTTCTGGCTTGATAATCATGTCTGATTTATGTTTTAGCTTCTGTAAGGCGTTTGGTGACCCCTGTGAGAATATCCTATGAAGTTAAAGCTGTAGGACTTAAAATAACATGCTACAGTGCCGACATAAATTGTTGGAAAGACTGTACTGGGGAAGGGTTATTTCACACCATTCTGAAACTGGGAGGCTGGATTGAACAGCATTGCACCAAGATCTGCCTGTGTCCTCTGATAAATATTTCCATAATTCTGTGATGGAATACAAAATATCCTTATTACTTTTGCAGATCAAACCAATAGTGAAAGAGCAACAAATGCTCTTGACAAACTGGAGAAAGAGTTGAGGAAAAATAGGATGCAGGTCAGTGAGACAGTTGTTCCAACAGCTGTTAACAGAGGACAGGAGAGGACGTAGATAGCAGCTGTGCTGTTGACCCTCAGGTATGAAATGGAAACTGAGCGTTCAAGGAACCTCCTCTAGAAGACCAGGTATTTACATAACTGTTTAAACGGACTTCAGTTCTTTTAGTTCCTAGCTGGTGTTATACGGCAAATGCATTATATTATTTTTAATGCTACTAAAGGGTAATTTCTTCATGCAACCTGTTTGTTTCTCTTACAGACTTGTCAGATTGGCATTTGCATATATGAAACATTATTTATCTACTCATTACCAGTCTTTCTTTTTAGGAGTAACATTCCAAACCAGGACAGAATTTAAATTGCAAGGGAACAAGTGTTCTGTTGCACTTGGAGGTAGGGCTCTCTTAATGAGCAGTGCTAGCGGAGGTCCACTTGGTCTTTTTTGGTTTTCTAGTTGGTAATCGAAGACCATATTACATCAGATAGAGCAATATATGTACTTGTCACTGTTTTCTACAAAGATTAGGTATAGCAGGTCACCCAGTTATTATATTTTGTGTTCAGTTCTAGCTCTGTCAGGGGAAAATGTGTTCTGAGATTTAAAATTAAATTTTCCTTTCATTTTTTGAGACTTCTTTTCTGGCCTAAGACAGATGACAATACAAAATTCATAATAACACTTTACCACAGTTGTTTTTTAACCATCACTACTACTGCAAACACTCATTTTTTTTAATATGTGTTTACTATCTGCTCTTTAAACTACGAGTGACGTTTTAGTCTGTATTTTTGCAGTACTTGGACTGAATTGCTGCTGTGCTTATTTGGACTCCCTACTACCTGCCAGAAAAGAGGGAAGCAGATCTATAAACAGAGAAAGACATTAAGTGACTTTTTTTGTTCTGTTCTGTTTGAAGATCTGAAATTTACTTCTGTGTCTACATTGAGTATTGCACTTCCAAATGTGTGTGTGTGTCTGTGTGTATAGAGAGAGAGTTATCATACAATTTTAGAAGAGCAGTAGGAGATCTGTAAATATGACTAGAGGTTTAGAAAATACTTTTCTAAAAGTTAATTACATTTTTAAAAAATTACATATTCAAAAGTAATAACAAAGTAGCAGTTAGAAAAATTGCAAGCACTTTTAAGTGTTCGTTATTGCATATCTTCTTTGTGCTTTTCTAGTGGCGGTCTTCAGTCCTTCCTTAAAAGTAAACTATTTCACAGGGTTTTTTGAGGGCAGAAGCAGATGTTCTCCTTGGCGTCATTTATTCCTCCAGCATGATTCTCTTGAGTAATTACAGTACATTCTACGATGCAGTGCTAGCTTTTGTGCACTTTATGTTTTTCTGTATACATTTCTTTAAAGATGTTGAACTGCTCTGAGAAATACATGAAACTGAAAGAACTTGTGGACACAACTTCCTTTTAAAGAATACTCTCCCACATTTTGGGAGTTTGCCTTATATAATCTTATGCCTCTGATCAAGTTTATAATATTAGATTGACATGTAGGGGGCTGGATTTCAGTGGCTGAGTTGTCAGCTATAGCCAGTCCTTCAAACTTCTTGTGCACAGATCGCCTTTAGGGTTGTACCTTCTATCCAACATTCCAAGGAAGGGACACGTCATCTTTTCTGTATTTTAATGTATCTTGTGAATTCTTCAAGCAGGGATTTCATTCCTAAAACGTTCTGTCCAAAACTGCACTTGTGTCAACAGCACAATAATATTTCAAGTAGCAGTTCAATATTATGATGGTAAAAAAAACAAATGTGGCTTTTTATTAAAAAGCTTTGCTGCGTTGTAAACATTAAACCCTTGGTTGAGGTTACCTTCTTTAAAAGGTTTTGAAAAGTGTATTTTTTAAAGTTAAATCTGCAATATCTGACTCTGTCCTTTATAATGTAAACGTTAGATTGACTTCATATTTTGTAAGGGGTAGCAATAACAACTTCAGCATGTCTTGTTCAGTTTCTCCCCAGTCTGAGGGAGAAATTAATCCAAGGTTACCATTTTTTAAAGGAAGAAAAAAACCTTTCAAATGTAATAAAAGTATTTTATCAAAGGGTTGGAAACCAGAAGAGGAAAAGAAAATCAGAATAGGAAGGAGCTAGATGGATGGGGAAAGAGCTGTATTGGAAATATTACTGTCTAGACTAAGTGCCCTTTGTTTTTTTGGAGGGAATAGATACAATGATTTAAAACTGTACAGTGTTCCATACACACACTAATATTACACAGTGATGTTCCCAGGCTCAGCAAACAAAAGTAAAGTCACCGAAAAAGTGAGTGTCATATTTCTGCCCCAACTCTCTTCCTCATGAAATAGCTTTACAGGACAGAGGTTCTGGTTGATTGGTTTTATGATGGGAAATTGCATTTAAAAGTTGTTTAGAATCAGATCAGTATTATATTCATACACAGAAAAGCTAGGAAATTACAGCTCAGCTCTTTGTGCAAAATAAAAAAAATAGAAACGCTGTTTTTTCTGACAAGTACTGCATCTGTTACACAGGGTAGAGGAGTTTCTGGAATAAAAAAGCTTGTGGGTAAGGAATAAGAATTGTTTAATGAATAGTGTTTACTTTGCTAAAGTGTCATTTATTACTAAAGCCAGCAACCCTACTAGAAAATAATCTCAAAGATGGACATTTCAAATGTCAAAAGTGCAAAGGAAGCCGCTGCTATAATCAGGATGGTTTTCATGCTTGCTTATGTCAGTTAAATGCAAAGATTGTAATCTAGAGAACACGTGATCTTTATCCGGTTTTGTACATAAAAATGATTTAGCCATATGTATTTGTCATTAATGCACGCTTAAGGACAACTTACCTCTTACAAATGTACAGCTCAATTTTAATAAATATCAGAACAAAAAGATAGCAGAGACCTGTGATTGTTAATTACATTTGTAGTGAAGCAATGATGATCAGCAGTTTTCAAAATCATTAAGCAGTTGTCCTGAAGTAATTTTAACAGTATGCTTGGTATGCCATTGTAGCCATGGAAATGATGTGCTGCATAAAATTACAGTGAATTGTCCACCAGAGAGAGCTGTTGCAAAAAATTTTCCAACCGCTGTTAAAAACGATTCTTTCATTAACTTATGACCAAAATTACTAAATTCACCATGATAGGTGCAGATGAATCATGTAGTTTATGCCACTGACCAAAGAAAAGTGTAGGCAGTAGTGTCACTAAAGGGCAAGCGGATATACTGAACAGGGCATTTCTGTTCATTTCTTAAATACTTATATACTGATTAAATCAAAACAAAACCAAACCGTTTCTCCTTACACTTATCAGACTGTGAGGAATGGGAGAAATGCTTTAGATTTCACAGAGCATCTTTAGAGGCTCTGCAGGTCTCAGGAGGAGGTGCAGTACGAATTCTGGCTGTTAGATGAGCGAGGAACATCTAGTGACTGCATAGCGGAAATAAGATGCACAAGGCACTGGCAGCCATGATGTAACGTAGAAACCTGTTTTACTTCATTGCAAACAAATGGACAATATATATTGTACAATATATAATAAAAATACAGCTGATACAAGTGCCACTAATTAACAAAAACCCCTAATGTTAAGACTTAAAAATGCTCATTTTTGTAATATATACACTGCAGTAATAAGCCACAATAAATACATCAAATTTCATATCATTCATAATAAATACTGAAAATATAAATACAGAAGAATACAGTTAGTTTGAATAAATTATTACAACATAAGGTCTAGGTTAAGTTCTGTTGATTATTGTAGCTTATATTACCCTTTGGCATCTTTGATGTTACACCTTTTAAAAAAAAGAAAGGAAACTAAGGAAATGTGTAGTTCATGAAGTTTAAAATGATTTCCACGTACAGATTTTATGATGAACTTTCTCTCCCTTTGCTTCTTCAAACAGTTTAAAAGCAGCAGTCCAATTAAATATGTTGCTTTACTGTTGAGATCTCCGTAATTTTAGTATGCAAGATCATCTGTAATGGAAAATGTTAAGTACTTAACATAATTATTTTTCTCAAAAATTAGTGAAGTTAGAAGTAATGTACACATTTTAAACAAACGGCTGCAATTACACCACAATTTTGCTAGTCCCATTTGAATGGATTACATGTCTGAAAGACCACCGACTTAAAAGTGCTTTTGAATCCATGCCGGGGAGTATTATTTACCACTTGCCAACAAAAACTTCAAAAGCAACTTTATATTCTTATGGGGAAGTATCTCTCTCTCTTCCCCCTCCCCCCCCCCCCCCCAAAACCCAGAGAAAGATGAACCTTCTAAAAGACATGGCTGGACTAGACAGTGTAACTGTTATGGAGTTGGTATTGATTAAACCAAAACAGTTTAAACATTAAAAAATGTAGTAAGTATTGGTTTTCTTTGCATTTTTTACAAAATTGCCATCTATTACCTGTAGATGGAAACAAATCAAAATAACCAATTGCCATGTTTCATGGTAACTGGTATTAACCAGTACATTTGTATTAATACTTCTATTTGTAAAAAAATGTCATTACACCAGAATGCAATTTAACTTAAAAGATTGACGTTACTAAGACAATAGTACAGGCTGAGGCTCTTAGGAATGGATTTGTAAGTTACAGATTATGACTATCTCTGCACTGTTAAATGTCTAGCGCTTATTTTACATCAAACACTTTTTTACCATGTTTCACAAACTACGCTTCAGATGTATTTCCATAGAAATGCCTACAATCAGTCAATTAAAAGAAGGGCCCAGTTGTTAAGCACTGTTCACATGGGCATCGTTATGTGAAAGCTGAAGTGGTGGTGTCTGTGTGAAATGGGTTGAAAAAGCAGTATGACTGCTGCTGGTTTTGTGTTACGAGAACCAGCTGCTGGTGTGCACAATGACATGATCGTCTCAAGAAGCTGAAACCTCTCGCTCAATCTGTGTATCAGAGACTCACAAATGGATGGCTGGTTCTTTTACAGTGATCCCCCACCACTCCACCCATCATCCAACCCAAAATTTCATTCTTAAGAACATCTTTTAAAAGGTTCAGCTGGAGAGACCTAAAAGAATGTACTAAGTCTCATTTGAAAATCCGAAGCTGAAATGCTAATAAAAAGGACACCTATTTTTCTGCTTTTAGTGTCTTCTTATCTGAGAAACATGTTATATCAGAACACGTGCCTGGGAGCAGAGTTAACTAAAGTGATGCTGAAGGTGACTTTGCAGGTGACATAGGCAAAGAGAAGACAGAGCAGCAATCCTCCAGTGTTGCTCTGCTTTGTAGTTTTTACCCCATGCTTTTGGGTCAGTCTTTCATTCAATGTCTGGCTGTAGACAACGGGTATGGGAAAATGACATTTCCTGTTTGCACTAAGTTCATGACCGTTTTAAAATATATTAAATAACAGAATTAATATTACGATCTATCATGGCCAAGCTTGTAGTGAACATGCATATACTTTTCCACCCTTGCTCTGGGGATAGCTTATTTCCTCTTTTCCTTCCCTTTCTTTTTTTTTTTTTACATATAATGTTTTCTTTTGCCCTTTAGAAGAAAAAAATTGTCTTCATCAATCTACCTCTTGCTTTCATCCCTCTTTTCCTCTAAATAGCCCTTTCTATCCTCCCCTCACTCACTCCACAGGTGTACCACCCGTGCCTCAAGACAAAGGATTATCTTGATCCTGCTGCTGTTACAACGGCAGTGTTCATTTGTATCTGCCACCATTTTTCCTATCCCTTGAGAAAAGCTAATCCTGTCTTTGGGCTTGTTGGAAAAGCGCACAGTTAGAGAAGAACATACATAGGAGGCAAACTTCCTTTGACTTGGTTCTATTTGACATTCATTCATAAAATACTGAGGTAAAACAAAAGTGTCATTGCTAAGATCCAAATTAAGATAATTGAATAAATAAATGAAGTTTGCCTTCTGACTTTTTTTCCTTTTTTTGTCTGTCCCATCATGTCCACCCCGACCCCGCCCTTGAAGGACTGTCATCTAGCAGCAATACCGAGCATCACGAACACAGTTCTCCAGTCAAAGGGACCTTCTGTGTAGCAGGTATCCTCCTAACCATAAAGAAAGCCTATACAGCAGTAAAGCAATATACACATTTTAACTTTTTAAGATCCAATTCACTTCTGTTTTTTAAAAGGCTGATTTAATTTATTATTTATTACTTACTTAGAAAAAAAGGAAAAATAGTAACAGTAGTTTGAAGGAAACTTTTTGTTCCCCTACATGATGGCTTTCTGCTTTCCATAATCTGGGATTTTCACCCTGTACCGGGATGTGCTGTAGCAAGAATGACCCTCCTCTGGATCTACGAGCCTTAGGAGACCCCGAGGATCCCTGCCCCATCCCCTCCACCTCTGCAGCCTGGGGGGGTAGGCTGCCCTCCTCTTTGGGGGCGTGTACGGAAAGGGAGAGCCTACAGCCCCCCACTGGGATGGCTTCCTCATGACCCTCCTACTTGGAGCTCACGGGGACTATTTTTCACCACATCTATCTGCGTGGTACTGTTCAGTAAAAATGAAATGAACCCTTTTAGCAAAATAAAGGACAGCTAGCGCAGCAGACACGGGGGTTGCCCTTGTGCTCGATTTTAAGGAAAAGCCTTTTGTACCACAGACCCTTCCCAGACACTAAGATGAAGGGAGGAAGGAATTAAAAAAGAAAAGACTAAGGCTGCAAAACAGATGTTTCATGAATTGGATGATCTTTTGAAAAGTAAAATTCCTGGTATCGGCCATTAGGATGTTGTAACTTTCCTCCTTCAGTGAAAACAATACTCAGGCACATTTATTAATTAACAACAAAATTAAAAGCTGCCTCTGGTTTAGGAGTGGGAAGAGACAGTGAGCAGGAAGCACTTATGAAGGACTCAAGTGTGCGTTCACTCAGACGTCTTGACAACTAAACCACCCTTGTTCATCACTTCACAATGTTCGTGCTTTGGCTTTCACACTTCTTGGTGAAAATGGACGATTAATAATTTGCACATGGACAGCAATTACAGAGAACAGCAAAATTAAGAAATATTTTTTTAAAAAATTTGGAAACATTGAAAAGGCAAATGTCGAGATTTCTCATACCAAGGAACACACTAATGAACTAGACTCTGTTTCGAAAATAACAGTAGCTTTCTACCACTTTAAGAAAATAGTAATCAGATTTAATATTTTAGTAATAAATTCTATAGAATATATTCTCTGAGTTAATTCTAGTATTTTACATCAGATGTTCGGCAACCATGATAAAAGCAGATGACAGAATTACTCTTTAGCCTCAGTGGCAAAGTGTAACACCCCTAAACACTTAAGGATTTCCCCCATCATCCTCTTCTGTCCCTGTTCCTGACTGCTTCAGGAAATGAAACACCTGGCACAACGCACACAAGTTTATACAACTCACGAGCTGTAACACAGGAGTTTCTTATTTAGCAACTGCCTTTTAAAACAGTATCATGGGTCTCTCTTGCTTTAGCTCTGAGTAAGGGCACCTGCTTCGTTACAGGAGCAGCCCAGACACGGCGTTTCAACTGACAGAATTCAGCTGGCAAAAGAGGAGAACACGCAGGGGAGTAAGGCTGCCTGTGCCAAGTGTGGTGTGGCAGGCAAACTGCAGTCTTGCTGCTCAGCTGTTAAGCGCTCAACAGCTAAATGTTGTATATTCAACACAGCTTTTATTCTAATTTTCACTGTGAAAGCTATCGCTAAACTTCTGCTCACTAATCTGGTCTGTGGAAAGGAGAGCTTGCTCTTGCTGTGTTTCACACCAGTGACACAATTTCTATTCGCTTCTGAGCTGGATTGGGCTTTATTGGGAAAGTGACTTAGTTTGTGGCACAAAAATGTAGTTATGGTGCCAAAAAAGAAAGAGGAAAAAAAAAAAATGGCATTTTGCATGTTCTATAGAATTATTTTGTAATCGCAATACATCCAAGTACCTTACAAACCAGAGCACAGAGAACTGAAGTGACAGCAGGACAAAGACAAAGCCAACAGAACCCTGGTCTCCTCTCTCTGAGCCCAGTACTCTCTATCCAGTGTATCACATTTCTATCAAAGAGTCAGGAACATCTGAAATGTTAAAAAACCATAAATACATGTTCTGTTTTGCATAAAAATGTCTGTATACAATCTTTAACAAACTAGCTGTGTTTTGTGAAGATACCCTCTCGATCGAGAGGCAGGGAGCGCTACGCGATCAGTTAGCACGTTTAGCAAAATACAACACTCAGGTAAGAGTAGAAACTGGCTCTGCATCGTTGGCAACCCAGCGAGTCACGGCCCTGCGAGTATCCCATGCAATTCCTGCAGAACGGAGGCAAGGCGAATGGCATTGCTCACGGACTCGGTTAAGGGATCGGTGAGCAGGCTGAACCATGCCTATAGCAAGTGATCGTTACTATGATAATGTCATCAATAGCCTCAAAATAAATAAATGTCAACTCAAATCATGATTCACTAGCAGGAACTTATGGAAATGAAAAATAGTAACACTTCACAACTCTAGAACTTTTTGATCTAAATGGCATCCAGCTCATCAAGGACTTACTGAAAAAAAAAAAAAGGAAAGGAAAGAAATATTAGAAACTTTTACTGACCAGCTTTTTTTTTAAAGATATTCCAGTGGGCATGAGTTATAGCTCTTAGGAAACAATTGCAATTGCTGCAATTTTGCCAGAAAAGTCCTAATTTTATCTCTAACGTCAGTTAGAGCCTTATATATAAACTTTAACTATGCATTTTTTCCAAGAGAGGCGAAGTTCACATTATAGGCAAAAAGTCTTCCAGTTTTAGGTGCTGCTCCAGTGATGATCTGTGTGAAAATTCTCTTTTATTTTAACAGAGGGAAATGCCTCAGAACTCATTTTTCTGAACTGCATAGTGTAAACTACCTACCAATTTATTACCTGGCTTCTTAGGCGTGATTATCAGTAGCCAGATATCACATCGTGGGAAGTAAAGCCGATACAACTATCAGTAAAGTAAACATTTCCACAAATTATATATACTCTGTCGATACAGAAGCAAATATTGCTGTTTATCATTTAGTAGCGTAATACTTTTATCACCCAAAAAGAAGCTTACCGAAAATGAAAGGACTGGTTATCAACATGAATATTAACCACCTGGGAAATGGGTGGTTATATGCATATATTATTATATACTAGTCCAGAAAATAACATTAAAACATTTTCCGTTCCATGACTTAAGTTTATTTTTCCATCTATGAAGAGTACTTTTTTCTTCTAACAAAACGTCAAAGTCTAATCAAGGGGTGGGAATCTTGACTCTCACCCGATTTCTACAGCCGGCTCTAGATTTCACAGTTAAATTCGGCTGTTTTGGTCAGGGCTCTGACTATTTCTTTTTTTCTTTCACTCTAGTCACCTGATACATGTCAGAAAAGGCCTTAGCTTTGTTATTTGGCGGTATGGAACTGTTTGGGGAACAGGTTTAGCCTGCATCGAAAAAAGAGGTTTCTGGGGTTTTTTCCTCAGTATGAGTTTACCTCGGTTAGGCGGCTCGTGGGTACTATTAGTATAGCCAGCAGGGAATCGCCGTGAATGATGAACAGACTTGCTTTTGTAATTTGTTGCAAGAACTAAACAAGATTTGTTTACTCTGTATCCTGAGCTCAGATCTGGATCACAAAACATCCGATCAGATCAAAAGAAAGGTATTACTAGCTGCATTATCATCTGGTAGTTAAGAATAATTTTTCAACGTAAACCTTTATTCTGCACATTTTACTTTGTAACTCCCAGGAATTAGCTGCTTTCAACAAGGGAAAACAGCATAGCCCAAGTTCTTCCTAGTCACTGCCTTCTCTGCCCACCCTGGTACAAGCTGCTGCTCATTACCCATGCAGCGAGCCTAGAGAATGTAGCCGTGCTCACCCCGCTGCCCCAATGGCAGGGAACACACCCCTCTAAGTACTCAGAAGTTTATACAGATGCTAAGGAGGCTGGGGGTCTGAAGCCTGTGCCAATGGAAATATTAAATAACTATCATCTCAGTATTTTAAAGCTAGCCAAAATGTATTTTATAAAGTTAGTCACTTACTGTGCTGGCTAATATTATTAAAGATATTTTTCACGTGAAAGTACAGGGGCCAAGAAAATAATTCCTTATTGCTCAGTAAGGGGGTGAATAATGAAACATAATATTTCATTTAAATTTCCCCTGAGAGAAATACCCTGGAAAAGTGTGCACGATCCTCCAACACACTCCGAGGTTAAAAAGCTGCTACTGATTCACAGCTACTGTCCCAGCTCAAGTAGAAGGGTTTTGTGCTTTTGCTGCTGGTGCCGAGTGAGACTGCCAGATTTAAGCCAGATAACACCTGCTGTTAATGCAGGATGCCTACAGACACAGCGGCTTGTCACATTTGCCTACAGAATATCTGGAACAGAGTAATATTATTCTTATCCTTAGATGAAGAACTTTATGAACCAACAAGTTTCTCTTTAAAAAGAAAGATGGGTGTTTGCTGTACGGAACTAGAGAATACAGGTGCTTACCTGGCGGCTCAGCCTTTAGAGAAAGAGACCAGAGTGTTCTGTGACTAAGAGGAAGAGAGGCCAAGGAACTGCCGAGCCAGACAGCCAACGTGACTGCACTTTCCCAGGAGACGGAATACGCTGCAAGTGTGGAATCCAGTCCCTAGAGAACTAGGACTTCTCAATACAGTTCATACAAAACATGTAGGGCTTCTTGCGGAAACAAGTAAATAAAAAACCTTTCCAGCTATTACATGGAGTAAAAATATTTTGCTAATTTAGCATAAAAATGACAAATCACGTTGCCCAGATTTCATATAAAAACAATTATGTCAGCTGATTTTTTTAAAAGCATATTTTAAATCTGGCAGTTTTTCTACTGGAGTACTGTACACGATGGTTTAGAGAGCTTCTAACCAGAAGAGTCACTGTTACAGAGATAAAATTTACACTGTGTATACATGCATGCTGTTAACCATCTAGGTCTGACACAGATAAAAAGTAAGATGCTGATCCTTATTTTGACAAACAAGACAGGTCTACATGTCAAACCACTTGATGTATAACAAATAAAACTTCAGTATTAGAACAAAAATGTTAAAATAGATTTTGAAATCAAAGTAAGGCAGTGTATAATTATCAGTGTAGAGAAAAGCAGGTTCTTACACCTCCTCTTCTAGAAGAAAGCAAGGTTGGCCAGTGAATTAAAGGCTGAGATACAGCAGGTATTTTAATTCCCATTTCATCTGAAAACAAATGGAGTACAAGGTAATGGATATCCATACGCTGCACGTGCTATTTTGCTTGCAAACTTCAACAGATACAACATTTCTGAAGCTATGTTTCCTCACCGAATCTACTGGTTCCTAATTAGACCAAATGACTCTGTAAATTTGAGATACGATCAGAAGTCCCCAACAGCCAATCTCACATTTCATAAAAACTGCTAAATATTTAGGAAATCTAGACAATTCCACATATCTTTCCATGCTTCATTTAAACTTTGATCAGCAAGACTCTGCTTTTTTACATGACCTACTGACATATTCATTAACTGGCTTGGGAAAAAAGTACAGGTTTCGTTACAAGGACTTTTAAGATCTTACACACATCTCAGAGTCTGGAGCTATGGCATTTCTCCACAACAGTTCACAGTTCCCGCAGTTAATACAGTACTGCAAAATGGCACTAAAGTGCATCAGTATCTGAACGTTTGTTGGGCGAAAAGGTGCTGTGCAAGCTTAAGCTACTACTTTGCCATTATATACAAGATCATTTTTCTTTGGGGAGGGGGTACAAGTTCTGGAATGCCACTGATTTTGATTTTAATGGAGGATTGTCTACTTTTCACCTTTCTACAAGATGTAAATGCCCCCTTTCTGACTCTTCTGTTTGCCAAGAACAGGAAAAGACAGGACACTCTCAAAATGCCTTTCAAGATAATTTACCAGAAATAGTATTTTAAAAAAAAAAAAGGAAGAAAATAAAGTACTCCAGATGGAAAGTGGACATGCTCTTTGTAACTACCTATGGGTCTCCTGCTCCAATGAACATGCTGTTCATTTTTATCGAAACATGAGGAGTACTAAACTACCATAAATAAAATACATACAGTACAGAACAATTAAAATTTTGTACAGTAGTTACTTTTACATTAAGCTTACCATCTTTTCAGATATGTTGAAAATTAGGACTCTAACATGATTATTTCAAACAACCATTTTTAACAATCTTGCACAGGCCCGACAATCAAAAACACGAAGCTTTGATTCAGATAGCTTGGCAGGTTTCACATACTTTGATAGGTAGGCTATTCTGCAGTATGTTGGGTGTGTTTTATCTTACGCATTTTATGTTTATCAAAAGACAGTTTGATTATTTTTATTTAAATCTTTACATGAACTGGTTTTGTGCAATACCACTGCCAGTGTCGCTTGAGAAAACAAAATGTGTCTGGAATATCGACTACAGTCCAAGTGTTGTCTACCTCTTAAAAAAGTAAGATTCTAGGGAATCCAGTGTGAGTGCATTTTAATACAGGAAGTCAGTCCTAGAATAATTTTAATATTAAACAGGTACCGTCTCTACCACTGGTGATTTGATGCACTCTTCGTGCAGTCTGCTCTTTTCTGGGAGGTTTAGTGAATTCTCAGCAGGGTGCTCTTGTACACAACTGTCACCATTCAAAGCTGAAACAAAGCCGTCTTGAGAAGGACCTTTCAAGTACGAGTGAAATTCCACTTGAGGGTGACTTGGCCTGTGCTCAGTGTATAAACTGTTACATGGAGCACTGCTATCACCCTCAGAAGACGAACAGCAAACAATCACTGAGGGGTTTGCAGAAGGGTAATGAGGGCTGCTAAAAGTTTCCTCTGATTGCCGTGCGTAGTCAACAAACTGTTCTGAAGTCATGTTGTAAGGCACCAGAGAAAGACTGCCGTTCTTGACAGCATCCCTTTCTGAGTAAGTCTCACCGATCTGGTTAGCAGTGCCAGCAACGTGGTTCTCTATTTGGTAATACAGATTTGAAGAGTTAGTATAATATGAGGCATTTTTAGAGTGGTTTTCATGCACAGCAGTTCCATCAGAGTAGCAAAGGACAGAAGGAAGAGGCACCATATCAGCATGGGAGCCCATGCTTTCTACAAAATCATCTGCTTTTTCTTCCTCATCATCTTCCTCCTCATCTTCCTCTTCCTCTTCATCATCATCTGATTCACTAGGGGCTAAACTCTGCGTGCTAGAATCTGTAACTCCGCTACAAAAACTACTCCCATCTTCCTCCTCCTCCTCCTCCCCTGGGCAGTCCAAGTCCTCAGCTGACTGAGAATGTATAACTGCAGCCGGAGGTTCGGTTTCAATCTCGAAACTTTCTGCAATTGAATATTCAACCGGATGGGGTCCTGGGCTCATAGAACTAGTGTGTGCACTTAGCTCACTGTGGCAGCCATTTAGTGCCGGAACTTGCTGCTCTCTGTTTTTCTCCAATTCAAGTTTCATTATTGTGTGCAAAAAGTGAGTCCGTACACGGATAGGGTTAAATTCAATTCTACCTGCTGTATTGCTACACCCTTCTTTAGTGCAACCGCATGGGAAAGACATACGATCCACCTTTTAAAAAAAAGAATACAGATTAGCAATATGTAGCATAAGCCTGGTGATACGACAGAACCTAGGCAGCCTAGAGAAATTCAGTAGTGAAGCAGGAGTCACCTTGAGAAGTGTTTGTGAGAACAGTCGAAGCTAACAGTAATTCAGAGTTAGCCCTGGCAGTCAGCACTACTGACAGCAACAGTAAGGGACCCACGCATGCAGCAATGTTGCTGGGTAGGAAAAATAAGTTTCTGTTCCATAGCTGACAGCATTACACTGTGGAGCAAAAAAATAGGTAGTTTTGGTATTTATGGACCTGCTACAGCTTTACTTCGTGTTGTGCTCAAATCCAGGCAAAAGCATTACCAGAAAGAGCCTTAAAATTTGGTGAACACCATGGAAACTAGAAACCTACTGGTACAAAATGAATTATATATAAAAACCTTTCTGAAGTTGCCAATGGGAACACCTGACCACAGAAAGGAGGAATAAAAACTCAAGTACGTTTTAAAAGATATTCCAGTCAATTGTAGATGCAATGTTGTAAGCTCAACACTGTGAGCAGAACTTACATATCTAATAATCACAGCCATCTTCAGTTCCTAAAACTGTGACTGAATCCACATGCCAGGCAGTTCAATTAGATAGCTCAAGGTCTATGGGTTTCATCTACACTATAATAATACCTAAACATCAAATATGACGCAGAGGAGAGCCATATGACACAATCTAGTACATCTTCCCCACATGTGAAGATGAAGACAGGAACAGCAAAGAGAATATACTATTTTAAAATAGCAGAGAAAGTTTAGCTCGGATTTAAGAAATTATAAAAAATGCATTCAGGAAGAAATCAACTCAGCTGCATAACAGCGACTCTGGAGAATTAGCAGAAACATCTTTTAGGGAGCATTTTGGGACACTGACAGCTATACACAGGCCACTATGTAAATGTACAACATGAAATACCTTCTCAGCCTGCGGAGGAGAACCTCCCTGCTATGTTAGCAGATGTCTTTTTTGTTGCCTACATGCAAATTTATCATGCATGGATTTTAAGTGTCATGCATGTTAAATAAAGGATGGTACCACAGAGTTTCATTTATTGTTTCTCATCTAGTTCGGACTATAATTCACATTTGGATAATATGTGAATTGTCTCTAAAATGAAAGGTAGTATCCCTCCTGAAATCTGCAGGCTACTGATTCTTCTGCTGCCTGCATCTGTATGTTTACATAAAGGCCAAAGAGGAATACGAGGAGCAGAATATTTGTATAAGAACAAAAAAACCCCCTAAACAATGTCTGTGCCTAAACCAATTATAAAATAAAGAAAGATGTTTAAGGAGATTGTTTGTACTGCACCCTACATACTCTTAAATCTGCACCTTAAAAAAAATAGTTTGAGATCCACAAGTGTTATTGTCTAATAATCAATTAATTGCTAGTTATAACTATAACAACAAAAAGTACACGAGTGTGCATGCACACACACACCCCTCTCCCCCTCACCTCGACAGTTAACTAAAGACAATAATATAGACATTTACCTGGCATTTTATGCCTGCAAGACTGCAAGTGCAAGTTTCTGGATCACAGAACACACGGCAGTCACAGCCGCAATCCTCTCTGGACAGGCGGATGGCCCGCAGCTCGTGTTTTTCTTCCACATCAATCTTCTTCACTCCAGAAGCTCGCAGTAAGGCCCTTCGCTTTTTTGTTGGCAGGGGTTGTAGAAAGAAGTACTCATCTACTTCAGTGTTGTCTAGATCAATATCATCATCAGAAATGTCATCCAGTGTCAGCGTATTGGCTTCTTCAGATTCCACTGTGCCATTCTTTGTCATCTGTTGCACAGAACGATTAACAAAGTCCTTAAACTGCACTCACACGTGTATGTCGTAGCTGCAAGTATGTCCAGTGCATTACGAATGTGGAAAGACGTATGTAGGAATGCTGCATGCCTGCCAGTAAGTTCCAGACTATGCAGTTCTTTCACATTTAACATGTGAATTAAATACACATTTTTAGTTTCATGTTTGTCATGAAGCTATTTTTTTTCCAAGTTTCTAATTTCTATTCTGGTTTTTATGTCCTTCTCGTTTGTCATTGTTTGCCAGATCTCATGCCTTTCTAAAATTCTAGTCTATTTTTAAGCCCTTAATTGATTCTATTTCCTGTCTGTGGGCTCTTTGAAATTCTTCAATCTATCTTTTGAGACAGTACTTATACTACCAACACTGTTTCAGATAACAATGCATCACAGATTTGTAAAATGGTGTCATTTATGTACCATTCACTAGCCTGTTCCTCTTTAGCCTGACAAGTTTGATGTTTGTACAACTGAGGTCACAAAGCGGTATTTCCACTGAATCATTTGGGCAGATGCCTATATTTGCTTCCTGAGTTGACCATTTTAAGCCTGGAAGTGACTTAATTTTGTCCCTTTCTACCTACATTATTTCTTCTTTATTTGCAAGGTATTTCATAGTGCTGATGCATACTGCTCTTCTGAAGTTCTTTCTAGTCCTCTTTGGTCCTGAAATAACCCATTTAGCTTTGTATTGTCATAGATTTCAGTACTTCACTAACCAGTCCAGATTATTCTCTAGGTAGTTAATGAATGAATAAACCTAGAAAAAAGAAAGTCAGTTGTTAACTTCTTGTGGAGGATCTTGAGAAAAGTTTTTAGAGGATTTGTGCTCCTTTCCTAGGGATATGAATTTTGGAGCCTCTGTAGATAAAAGTATCCTGGCACTATATTATTACCTATGTATAGTCTAGTTCTCAAACCTTTCAAAAATTGTTTCGAAATTAAATAGCCATAAGCATCAAGCACAAACATCCAGTGCCACTTTCATAAGAGAAAACACTTCTGCACCACTGTAACGGG